TATATATATATTGACATCTAGCTCTCTCTAGATATAGATATAGAGAGATGTCAATTTCTACATACAAACTTTTATATTATATATATATATACTATTAAATATATATATTATATATATAATGTTTTAATATTATTTTACAATCATGCTAATCCTAAAAGAAATCTTTCAAAAAGATTTTAAATTAAAATATTATTAAATAATGTTTTTAGTTTTAATAGTAAAATCAGAAAATTGAAATATTTTCAGTTATCTTCAAATTCCACAGTTTTCCCCAGTTTTGCCTTAAAGGCTAACGGAAGGGTATTTTCAAAGGGTTTTAGTAACTGCTGCATATGAGAAACACAGACTAAAGCTCTGAATCTTCTATGCGTTGTTTTTCTTGAATTTCTTTTCTGTGGACAGAGAATATATTATAAGTGGTAAATTGCAGAATCTTATCTGAATCAGCTAGAATGTAGCAAGTAAATAAATACACGTTTCGCCAGTTTCATCGTATTATTCGTGGTAAATAGCTCGCATTCTTATACAAATTCATTTTGAATCGGAGATTTTTTATGCCTCCAACATATTTTTTGTTATTGTCAAACATCCCAGCTAAAAGTACACAATAAACCAAACCGGAGAAATAACATCCAGCTCTTATTACTTCCCTGCTGTCTATTTGTGTTTCTTTTCTAATTATTAATACTAGCATTTTTTTAAAAAGCCGCCTAATATTTAATTTTTATTATAGGATGTTAGCAATAAATTCCAATGGAGGAATTGAACAGATTGGAATAGGGGGCCCGATCCTGCATGCAGTGGGGCTTCCCATTGTGGTCAGTGGGCGTTTAGCCTGTGCAGAGACTGCAAGATCGGGTCCCTAGTTTGTTGGGAAGCAGTAAACAGTGGGGTGTAGTGGGGGATAAGGAATTAAACCCCGATTTTTGTTTCCATTTGCGCAAAAGGGGTTGGGCGGGAGAGTCGGTAGGACTCGTTGCCCAGCATGAGCTGGGAGGAAAGGGTGGTCACCCCTTCTGGATTGCTGCGTTGAGCTGATGGCTAACTAAGGTGTAATTCCTTGTCCGTGGAAGGGAAAGAATTTCACAGGTATTTCAAGGCAGTAGAAAATAATCAGAGACCCCTTGACTCCCGAGATTAATTTTGCTAGCTCGCTCAGGTACAGCCGGCTGAGAACCTGCCCAGCGATGGAAACAGAAAAGAGACTTTTTATTGGTTCTGTTTAACCGATCTCTGCTAAAGGGCTTAAAATGTTGAATATAAAATCAAGTTTCATTTCCTGCCACCCTTTGCTTATTACATACGATCCGAATCAACTCTGCATCGTCTCTCTTCGGGACAAAATCCAAGTTATAACTTTGAGCTGTTTTAATATTCACCGTAATAATATATAACTATCATAATTAAAATAGTTGTTAAGCAGGTACAAGCTATAACTTGGATTTATATTTATTTAAGAGCCTTGTTCCTTAAGAGAGAAAATCTAGACTACATTATAAATGTATTGAATAAAAGGTGGCTGCAAATCCTACTAGATAATACACTCCCAATAAACTGTTTTCTGATTTTGTTGGTTTTTATTCCTTACAATAATAGCTCCTTGCTCTTTTAACCTCTTTCAAACAGTGACACCTTTAACCACAACTCCCTAAGAAGCAGAGGGATGTTTTCAAGTTCTGAGTAAACTCATGTTAAAATTCTGGTTTTCGAAATTCTTTCATCCTAATAACGATAATAAAAAACAATTAGGGGCTTGTTACTTAGAGCTAAATTCTGTCCTTGGTCACTCCTGGTCTTCGGTAAAGTTTATTGAACAGTTTGTTCTGTAGTTTATTGAAATTGTCAAGTTTTAGAAATACATTTAGGAATGACCCAGGGCCCTATAAGGTTCCGTCGGCTTCACCCCAGACGCGGCGAATAAAATATTGCTACATCTTCATCCGGATCTGGGATTTGTGAAGGTTTAGTTCAGTCGTTGTTTTGAGTAATTTTGTAAACTGGTAGTCGGGTTCCCCTTTCTCTATTATCTTGTTTTTAAAAAATGTAGAAGTTGCTGTTAAGGCAGAAATCACTCCACAGCTTCCTATATTTCAGTGACGAATGCTTAGCTCGATAGATACCTTTTAGATTGTTTTCATACTTGATAACATACAAAGTGACTCTTTAAAAAAAAGTGCTTTGATTTGGGGTGAGGAAGGGGACAATAATCTCTCATCTGACACTTTAAAACGAGGGCACCAGGACAGGGAACTTTGTGCATTTGATCGTATTTCTGCGGGAAACAGAAACTTCAAAACAGATATACACCGTTTCAAAGTAATTTCCAGACCCGGCGATCCTTACTGGCTGTAAAACCCACGAGTATTTTAACTCTAATGTCTGAGAGCGGATACGTGTTAGCAAAACAGCTCCCTCATTTTCAGATCTGAAAAGTAAGTGTGTGTGTGGTGTTGTGTGGTGTGGTGGGGGTGGGGAGTTGTGAGGAAGAAGGTGGCTTGTCCTTATATTCAGCGCCAGATCAAACAAACAAACTCCCCTCTAAACTCATGGCTTATAGAGACCCAGGTGTAGTCAGCACCGCGGAGAATTAGGCAAAGGCGGGATCTAGCTCTCTAAAACTTTCTGGTTCTTAATAAATACTAATAAAATAATACGAATAAAATAAATATGTATATATAATTAATTAATAGTACCAATGCCTCCGAGCTAGTCAATTGACTCAGACAGGGGATCGACCTCCCCTCCCCATTCCACTAACAGAGTAGCAAAAATCCCGGCCAACAAAGGGGACTCCAGTAAGAAATAAATACCTAAAACAAAATGCCCCTTGTGCAGCCCTGCGAGTTAAAGGGGCGATTCACTCCCCGGGAGTCTCTCGCTTCCCCCTCCCATGGAAAGTTTGTTGCTGGAGGTTGGTTTTGGGAGACACCCAATCCTTAGAGAACACCACGGCCTACCTAGCCGGGGGGGTCACGTGATCCGGGCCATACAATTGCCCTGCTGTAAAGCGAAGGGAACCACTTTAACTCCGAGATTAGCAGAGAAAGGAGCCAGTTAAAGCAGATAGGGGAGCTGGGTCAAACCCTATCAGAGCGATACCACTCCCTTCAAAGGGGAAGGCGGCGGGGGGTGTGGGTGAGGGGATTAAAGTCACCGATTCTTTACTGGGGGGGGGGGCAAATTAGTCCCTTTTTTTGCTGGAATTTCCCCGAGGATTTGGATTCAGCTGCTGCTTAATTCCCACCCAGCCATGCACGGTTTCGCTCCTTCCCCGCCGCACTGTAAGTAATTCTCTGCGAATTTATCTGCCAGCTGTCCTTATCTCGGAGATAATGGCTCGGGAGTCGGGAGGTTTCCCGATGGGATTCTGTTAGCTTTGCAAGGCAGCTAGTGAGATTGCTCCGTGATTTACGTGGTCTCTGATTTAAAAAAAAAAAAATCCCATTTTTAGATGGTCCTTTTATAGAGGGGCCAGATTAGGATTTTTTTTTTCTTCTTATCAAGGAAGCAGCACAATCCTGATGTGGAAAGGAGCCTTTCTTCCCACCCCTACCCAACAGGCCGGTACCGGCCGGGGGAATTAGCAACACTTGGAATTAATTCTTCGCTTTGCTGTCTCATTCCAAAAGAGCTTTTTAACGCCACGGTTTCGGTTGCGCCTGTGTGCAGCAGCTGCGCGGGTTATCTTTTCACCGAGGCCCATTATTTACGGCACAGCCACGGTTGCTGAGTTGTTTTTAAAAAGACACCTAATTCCCTGACTTCTTAAAATCGCCGAGGAAGTTGTAGGGTTGTGTTGCGACTTATTATTGTGGCTAGACTGTGATGGCTGAAAGCGAACAGTAATTTCTCTTCCTGGCAGGGTTAAACACGTTATTCATATGGCTGGAAAGTCTTTTCGAAACGTGTTGATTGTATGTGTTGTGTTTGTGTGCATTAGAGAACGAGTATTCCTGTTATTTCATTTGAAAAATGTATCTTAAAAAAAACAAACCAAGAATCAGTTACAGGACAATGTTAAATGTTTAAACCGACTTCAGGGTTTTTATTTGTACAAATCAATGTTGTAAAGAAAAAGCAAATGACATTAGAACCTGGCGAAATGTACATGGAAAGCAGAATATTTGTGAAGAAATCCTTTTAAAAAAAACCCCTCTTAGTAACAAAAGTTAAGAGCATTTGTTTAAAACACAGAAGTCCCCCGTTTAAAACACTCTTTTATTTTATCTAGCCTAAATGTAACTTTGGGACTCTGAGTGGCGTTTCTGTAGATAGATACTGTAACGCAAAATCCAACATATATATTATCTACTGCAAAGCCAATATTTATATAAGTAACGCCATATATTTCAATACATATGATGCGAAATATACACAATAAATATAAATTATATATGTTGTATATGTTCATGCATATGTATATAATTGTATGTGTGGTATAATTAGATAGGTTGGATATGTGTGTTGTATTATGCAATATAATAATACCCAATAGAGTGATTTTTCTCTGTAGAGTGAATTGTTATGGATAATACTGGCAAATTGAATAACTAAAAGGGGGATCAGTTCTGAAAGAAACATCTGCATCTGGCAATAATCCAAACCTTTAATTCTCGCCCGGTGATTTTACCCATCCTAATTCTTTTCGTCGTATTGAGCCGCGGTCTCCTTCACTGAAGACGTGTTAAAACATCCCTCCTCTTGCAACTGTGTCCGTGTGGAAGGACAGGTGCAAGAGGCTGCTGCGAACCAACACGGGGTTTTCTATGATATAATAGTTGTGCCATTAAAAAAAAAGTCATATCTCGCTGCTTTCATGTTTCAGGTGCCTGTAACTGTTACTGACCTGAGCCCGAACATCTGGAGACAGCTGCGGGACAGCCCAGCTTCTCATGTCAATCTCCCAGCCCTTGACCTAGGAATCTTTAAGCTTCACAACACAGAAAACTTCTGCGCCGACTGGGCTGCCGCTTTCCCCGACCCTCGGCTGCCCCGGGCCCTGGTCCCGCTTTGGAGGATATAAAATGTATCAGAGTTTAGCCCTAGCCCCCAACCATGGGCAATCGGCTTATTCCCACGACTCCAGCAATTTCCTGCACTCGTCGGCCAGCTCCCCGGTGTACGTGCCCACCACCCGGGTGCCCTCCATGCTGCAGACCCTGCCTTATCTGCAAGGCTGCGAGACAGCCCACCAGAGCCACCCCCTGGGCAACCACCCGGGCTGGGCGCAGAGCGGCGGCGAGGCATCGGCCTTCAACCCGAGCAGCCCTCATCCGTCTTCGGGCTTCCCTTACTCGCACAGTCCGCCCGTCAGCAACAACGCCGGCCGGGAGGGAGCCTACCAGAACCCGCTGCTCCTGGGCAGCGGGGCCAGGGAGCAGTACAGCAATGCCTTGGTGCGCTCGGTCAATGGATCCTACTCCAGCCCCTACCCTGCCTACGTGAGCCCGGAGATGCCTCCCTCCTGGACCGCGGGACACTTTGAAAGCAGCGTCCTGCACAGTCTCCAGACGAGGCAGGCTGCCTTGCCGGGCAGGAGATCCACTTTCGGTAGGTGACCGCACCTGGGCCCTGGGAGCTGCCCCCCAGGCACCGCGGAGCCCAGCCCGGCTGAGTCGCAGGCGGCTCCCAGCCTCGGCGCCCCCTTCCCAGCTCCCAGGGGCTCTCCATTCTGGCGGCCCTGGGGTAGGTTGAGCTATTTTTTAAAATGCAAATGATTTGTGAGGCCCCCACTTCTCTAGCTTCAGTGGGCAGCAGGACCCGCTCCCTAAAGTACTGCTGGGAGCCTCGTGGAAACTGAAAACTTACAAAAAAGAAAACCCAGCCCGGTTCTTGTGGTCAAAGTAGCGCCTGGCTCTGCCCCGCTGGAAGTAATGGGACTATCTCAGGCGGCAGGTAATGGGAGCAATGAGGCAGGAGAGGATCTGACCCCTGAGTTTTAAGTGAACCTGAAGGAAAAGATGGTTCTCTAGAAAGACCTCCTGTGTCTTTAACCCTAGGAAGGGTCCAGTGGTGGAAACAGCTGTCCGTCCCCTCCCCTCCCCAGGCAGGAGCTGGGCTGTTGCCACGTGAATGCCAGTATATATATGTATATATTGCAAGAAGGGGAAAGAACACATTTTAAAAGGAGAGTAATTTCCCTGGAGGACAGAAAAATGGAGGTTGTTTAAACGCCTGGCCCTTTACCCCAGATGATCCCTCCTTTCCACAATATCGACTTTGTGCCTTCGCCTCAATACTTGCCCTTGTGTTTGAATTAGGAGGGCAGATTTATCGCTCCTTCCCTTTTAAGTAATTTATTGTGGTAAATTAGTTTATATTTGAACAGACTCTTGGTCTCCTAATTCGCCTTCACCCAAACAATTCCCCAATTGCATCAATCTGCTGCCTCTGGAGAGACAGTGAAATCTAGTCAGGCGTTGAACAATAAAACCCACTTCAATTCGTTTTTATCCACACGGAGAGCCCTTTTAAATCAAGTTCCTAGCCAACTTTCCAGCTTCTCCCCCTCTTCCCCCTGACCCTTCCCGGTCTGCTAAATAAATAGGACCAGCTCTGGTTTATAACTCATGGGTCTATTCTTCTCCTAAGATTATGTTTTGAAAAGTACTTTAAAATCCACTTCAGGATCTCAGCCTTCTTATCATCTTTACTGCGGTGAATCGAATTATCTTATCTCTCCAGTAAGAACAAAGTAAACTAGGAAAAAATGCCTCCACTCCGTGTTTCTTACCAACTTTTCCAACTTGAGGGTCCTACTTTCTTCTACTGCACTTTAAACAGCTGCTTCCTTATGATTTCTGGGAATCGTTTTTCTTTGCCTTTGAAAGTCATGTACAATCTTCTTTTCCACTGCATTAGTAGGATCCCCTGATGAGTTGAATTGTAACTCTTCAATGCGCCTAAAGCAAACATTAATTCCAGAGAAATCACCCCCAGTTTATAAACTATCCCCTTTTCTGTTGAGAGATGTGGATTCCTTGCAAAGTCATTCTCTGGCCCTGTTGTATGTTATTGGCCTTCCAAAATGCAGTGTTCAAGAATCTCTTGTAGTTATTTATTTTTGCTCTTAGATCATGTAAGCGAGTGTGAAGTGCCTTAACACAACAACAAAAAGTCCAAACTTTTCTTTTTTAAGGAACGCTTCTTTAATAAGTTCAAAGAAGGTTAAACCAGGAGTGCATTTTTATTTGGAAAGAAAACAGGCAATTTTCAAACCACGAATAACAGCTTCTTCCAGATTGGGAGGGAGGGAGTTATTTCAGGAAAAAAATGAGGCTTTAAATCAACTTATACTAAGACTGAAATAATAGGGGTTGGTCTGTATTGCCCGCTTGTAAAATAACTGAGGCAAAAATATACAGCTGGGAGATACACAAAGCTAATCAGACAAACAAAACGTTTCACTTTCCCTTCTGATTTCTGGAAGAAGGGGGTCAGATCTCACTCTGAAATGTCTAGTTCAGTGCCTTATGAATATATAATATTTGGGACAGATGGGAAAGTATACACGTGTATCTATGTGCAAAATACCCATGTCATTCTTGAGTGTGTGTATATATGTGTGTGTGTAAAAGATGCGCATGTATGTGTGTATATATGTGTGTACACACACAGCACATTTATTTTATATTCAACGTTTATTTTACATATATGCTCTGTAGCCACACAGTATGGCTATAGAATACAATTAGCTGTGTGTGTCGACAGCCACATACAACTTCAAACTCCTCCAACGCTGGTCCTGGGAGCTGGAAGATTGACTCGGGAAAGCTGACCCCCCTTTCCCCTGCGAGTCTGTCATTTGTCAGCTCGGAGCTCTAGGTGTGATTGATACCCACAGGCCAGCATCCCCCGAAGTTGTACATCAGCCATAGACATTCCACCAGGCCTTCCCCAGCCTGCTTGTCGCCACCAGTCAGCAACCAACACCATTTGATTGAAATCAGGAAAGTCTTCCAGTTCCCTCTCCCCCCCCCCCCTCCTCCTTTTATCATCTTACAATAACATCATAGCGATCATTTATTTTTACAACCGAGCTGGGCTGCACCCGGCCCGCTTCCAGCCACATGAGAAGCGGTTTCTGGGGAGCCCGCGGGGAAATGAAATCAAATCAATCTTCATTATCGCCCCTTGCCGGGGATATTTATTTATTTATTTTTAAAAAAATCATTAAATGATACATTAAAAGGTTAAATAAAAACGAAAACAGGGGAGAGGGCGGGGGCTTCTTTCTCTTTCGTACCCAGCTCATGGGGGACACGTGAGATTGCTGCTAAAAGCAGGGATGGGGGTTAACTGAAATGGGTCCTTGCTAGCAGGTCCCCTCTGGTGCTTTGCAGTGGATCTTCAGCCCAGTGAAGCCAATGGGAAGAGTCCAGCTTCAAAATCCAGGCTCCCGTGAGGGTCGGCAGAGAAGAACTTGGGCTGATACATTCGCCTGGATTTCTTTCTTTATTCTCTGTTGACCCCGCTGCGGCTGGAGTCAATGGGAGTTTTGCAGCTGACATCCCTGAGTCTGACATTTCTCCAGGGCATGAAAAGTGGGAGACCGGCTGACGGGATGGGCAAACCGACCTGGCTATCGGCTGCCATCTCTGCTTAAGCAGAACTCCCCTATTCTCATAGCCCTGGGACAGGGCCCTCAGCTATTTCGCCTAGGATTTCTTTCATGCCGGACAAATCCAATACAGGTGAGATGAGGAGAAACCTTTGAAGTCAGTGGCAAAACTCCCTTTGACTTCCACGAGGCCAGGATTTCACGCGTGGGATTTTCACCTAAGATCTGGAGGTGGGCAAAACCGTCAGTGGCTCCAGTGGGAGGGATCTTCCCATAACATTTCATTTCTGGTCCTTATTTACCATGGCGCTCAGTCACTTCCCATGTACTGTTTCCCTTCTTCCAGCTGCGTTTCTTCCTGGGTCACGGTATCCGTGGCGCACGGGTGTGTTATTTTCAGTAGTGATGTTACAACGATTTGCCATGTAGGGAAAACAAGCTGGCCGGATCCTGGTAAGCCAGAGACCAGCCGGGGGGACACAGCACAGTTCTTTGCTGGAGCCAGGAGATTGCTGACAAAACCCTTAAAGGACGGAGAAAAGTTCTGCAGGTTCTTTGGCCGAAGAGAAGCCAGACGCCCCGGTGTATCTGACACTCGGTGTCCCGGGGCTGTTTGCTCTTGCAAAGAATCGTAGGTCGTATTTAGGAAAGTAGCCGGGGCCCGGGGGGGAGGCCGCTAAAGATCATTTTCAGAGGCACCTGAATGCGCAGCAGCTAAATGCTCTCCCATAGCCCCCAGAGAAAGGGCTAGGGAATGACGGTTTTGCCTTTTATTTCTCTGAAGACAAAACTGGGTTCCTCTGAGGACAGGCAGGCTGGCTCTGCCTGGCCCGGGTCGCCTGGGATCCCCGGGGGAAGTGACCTTGTCCGGGGAAGGGAGCGAGCGCCTAACGAGCTGCGTTTGGGTCAGTTTCAGAGTACTTGGAAGAATTCCCCGGGGATGGCCGAGAGTGTGTGAACTGCGGGGCCATGTCCACCCCGCTCTGGAGAAAGGATGGCACCGGGCACTATCTGTGCAACGCCTGCGGGCTCTATCACAAAATGAATGGCATCAACCGACCGCTCATCAAGCCACAGAAGAGGCTGGTAAGGCTGGCAACCCCAAACCGCTGATCTTTTCCCCCTCTCCCCTGCCCCGCGCTAGGGAAGTAGGGATCTGTGCCTGCGCCAGGCTCTGGCTAGAGGGGGTGGTTTGTGCGCTCCCAGGGGGGGAGAGGCGAGTGAGGTGCCTTGGCGCTGTCTTCTGGGGCTTGGAGAATTAAAGGTCCGGCCCCGGAGATGTTGCAGCTTCGAGGAATCCCGCTGAGAAGTGAACGCGTCAGTGTTACGCAACAATCCCAGCCCCATTTGCGCCGTTGGTCGGTGGCGATCGATGAGGATGATATTATTGCTCGTGAGTCGTTCGCTATTATTGGCTGGTGTGAATACAGCGAGCACACCCCACCCGCCCAGTTTGAGCTGTTCAGTAGGTAAAGGTGGAAAGGATGAAATGACATCAGCTCCGTACAAACGGAGACATTTTAGAACCTACGACTTCTGTGCAATTTTGCAAGGAAATTAACTAGCTATTTACACAGCTACTGCACCACTGGTGGGAATCCTACAGGATTGATTTGAAAGGATAGAAAGCGATAGGCTAAGAAACCAAAGGTTGTATGTTTCCTCTGGCATATGATTTATCTAATCAAAATCGAGTGACATGATCTCCCCTCAATCGTTCCCACAAAGAGAAATCCAGTTGCTTGCTTTAACCATAAAAAATAAAATAGTATTTGACACGGGAATACAGAGGTAAAACCCCTTAACCGACATCTAAAGCTGAGAACAATTGGGTGCTTTCGTTTTTGCAAGGTAGAATGCAATTAACATTGATAAGCGCGGGTTCTCTTGTCCTCTTTCCTCTCTGTCCACTTGCCTCGCGTTTGAAACAAAGGACAGGGTTTCTTGCTAGTCTGGGGGAAATCTTTAATGTTTGGGGCTGTATAAAAGCAGAATCTAAAGAGAGAAGCAAACTGTCATGTCCCTTTTTGTTTTGTTTTTAATATGACCACCTTTTCATTACCCCAGGACTGGCCTTTCTCTAAATATTTTTTATCCCCTCTATCAACAAAAAGTCTGTGTTTAAATTCAGGGGAAGTTATTCAATGTTCATTTGACATATTTTGACACTGTTCTTTAAAAAGAAAAGAAAAGAAAAGAAAAGAAAAGAAAAGAAAAGAAAAGAAAAAGGCCGGAGCTTAATTGGGATTCTAGTATACAGTGGCCAGTTAAAACAATATTGTGTGGGAGAGAATATTGTGTGTTTATAGTGTAGAAGAAGTGAATTTGCTTTTCATGTCAATAATAAAGTTATCTTTCCAAAGTTTTGCCTCTTGAGGCCCCTGAAATTTCCTGCTATAATGCCTAGCAAAAAAAACCAACAACTTATTTTGGAAGGCTGCCAAAGATAGATTAAAATGATCTATAGAGTGTCTGTCTGTGACCCTCTGGGTTTTTGATCACTTTGAGTGTATTTTATTGGGATAAATACATGCGTGCACATGTATGCATTGCTCTCTTAGAAGTAAGGAGTAGACAACTAAGAATCTACCAAAGGAAAATACAGCCAGGTTAGCTAGAGAATAAAAAATAGATATTAATGAGAATAAAGATCTCAAAAATGAGGGTCAATGCTATGGGACTGTACTTACATTTAAATGCTAACATGAGTAGCTGTGGTTTTCTGCCTCCAATGTATAAGGACCTCTTCAAGTGACAGGCAGAGATCTATTAGGACCCTCTAATGACTTAACTTGCTTATTATTGAATGCAGGAATTCACAGCTCCAAACACATTGGTGGATACAGGCTGATCAATAAAAAACATGTATGAACGCTGAGGATATTTTTAATATTGCTCTCAAATAGGAAAGGCCTGGTTCTGTGCATAGAGCTCTAACTAAGTATGCCTATCGCCTTTCCAGAGCTCCTTGTGCATTTCTGGGTTTGCAGAAAAGTTTTCCCATGTGGGCTCCCCAAGACCAAGAGAGAGGTCTGAGATCTGCCCTACACGCAAGTCACCAGCTCCCACCCTGTTGTCCTGCTTCCACAGTCACAGTTAGAGCTGAAGTCAGTGGGTGTGTGTTGCCTGAGTGTGGCTCTTCGAGGAGGCTGATCAGACATCCTGGCTCGGTGCTAATTGAGAGGAGCCATTTTTCAAGCGAGCACCATAAAAAAAATGGGCGGTAGAATGTTTACCTGATGCGTGGGCCCCGTACAAAGCCAGGAACCACTTTGATAGATTGTGGCTGAGGGTTGTTTAAATTAGCTGAAAAATGCAGCCGGGGAGTTACTAGTGGTGTGGCATGTGCCTGTCCTTGTGAAAACCTTGACCAAAATGAAGGCACTGAACACACTAGCTATTTGTGTGTTCAGTGAAGAGGCTGATCTTGCAATTCTGATTCAGGGGAATAGCCCCTTTGGAAGGTACAGGCTGGGCTCAAGGATAAAATGCCTAAGGTCTCAATTTAGGGCCAGACCCAGCTCCCATTAAAGTCCATCAGGCCTTTAATAGATTGAAATAATGAGTATATCTTAACAATTACTCTCCATAGTGTAAATGCCCTCAGGACAATAGGAAATTAAATGACATGCAACTAAGCAGTATTTTCAGATTAAATATGCCTCACAATTTCCAACCACTTCAATAATCGCAAACACATAGAATAGGCATATTATCAGATTAATATATAGTCGTGCATGCATCTAGATAGACAAACTGATTATCTATCTACTAGAATGCATATTATCACCTCTTTCTAATTTACTTAGGGTACATCTACACTACAGGGGGGAGTCGATTTAAGATACGCAAATTCAGCTACGTGAATAGCGTAGCTGAATTCGACGTATCACAGCCGACTTACCCCGTTGTGAGGACGGCGGCAAAATCGACTTCTGCGGCTTTTTGTCGGCGGCGCTTACTACCACCTCCGCTGGTGGAGTTAGAGCGCCGATTCGGGGATCGATTGTCGCGTCCCAACGGGACGCAATAAATCGATCCCCGAGAGGTCGATTTCTACCCGCCGATTCAGGCGGGTAGTATAGACCAGACCTTAGACTGGGCTGAATATGGAACAACAAGTGAACACTAATGTAGCCTTACTTCCATTGAAGTCGATGAGGGCTTTGCCACTGATTTAAATGGGAGCAGAATTGTCCCTGGTTAAATAAATACTGTAGGCTGGAATCGCATACAGTCACTGGTGCATTTCTGGCTGTCAGCATTGTCTGAAGGATGGGTTATGGTTACTGTGTTCATTAGTTGCTGTATCTTTTCATATTAAAGTATTAATCTTCCAGGTATTATACATTGGATTCCATCACAGTTGGGTCTCCTTGCAAGGGGGAGAAGGCGTGTCTTTTTCATGTAACTTCACCTTTGATATTTGAATTTAGTTGCAAAAAGTTTCACCTTTTCACACTGCAAACTCTGAATCAGTTCAGCTAAAAACTAGTAAATGTTTAGGATGAGTCCTTAGTGAAATGAAGTTTCAGTTGGAAATAGATTTCTTTGCTAGAGCTTAGGGTATGAATGCTTATGTAAAATCCCTCATTTTTACATGTATGTCTCCAAAACTGCAAAGACATTTGCACATGTTAACTTTAGATGTGTATGTAATCTGTGCATGTGTGTAAAGTAAAGCATGTGTGCAGAATTAGGGCTTATAGATAAATAATTTGGTAAAGACCCTAGTATTTTGGTATTAAAGACAGTTATCGATATAATGTAACAATATGAATAGGATATTACACTCATTACTCAGGTAAAACTCTCTTTGGATGTCAATGGACAGGTTTGACCGAGAATTTACAGGATCAGATCCATATAGCTCAGGGATCCCTAAGAAGCCCATTTTCCTTTGCATGATGATAAATCTTACCAAGGTCACTATGCAGGGACTTTGGTTTTTAACAAAATATTTCTATGAACAATTACAATCTCCGTGCAACATTTGTGCTTCGTGAGCGTCAGTGTAAATTGTCTGTTTTCTATCATATCGCCATTGAAGCTTTGTTTACAAGTTATCCAAGCAGATGCGATTTTTTAAAATTAAAACTAACATGTATCAGTTAAACTGTTTTAGAAGTCTAGTGCCAATTTTTAATAAGATTCCAACTTCTTATTATAACCAATTTCTTAAGACAAACAACTGTTTTAAAATGTAATTCTTCCGTCAGCCTTGCTGTGCTTTGCTTTCTGGTATTTATTGATATCTTCAAAGTCAGTCACTGGAAATAGTCAAGATGCTTGTGTCTGAATTAGAGCTGGGCCGGAACTATTCCATGATTTCAATTCTTCCCATTCCAAAATGGAACAATCCCCCAAAAATGTGAAATTTCCCCTTAAATCAAAATTTAAAAAAAATAATTTCAGGTGAATGGAAATGTTTCGTTTTGATAAAAATGAAACATTTCCTTCTGATTTTGCTTTTTTTTTTACATTATACATAATATAATATCAAAACAAAATGTTGTTTCAAACCAGAAAATTAAAATGTTGCCTCCATTTTGACGTCATCAGAATGCTCCATCCCATTATTTTAAAACATAATTTCATTGAAATCCACACGTTTCCATGGAACGTTTTGCTTTCAATGAATCAGCATTTTCTGATGGAAAAAACATTGTGTCAGAAAACTTCCGACCAGCTGTAATGTGTATACTGGGGCAGATTCTGATCTTAGGTATAGTGATGTAAATCCAGAGCAACTCCACTGATTTTGAATGCCTTTTTTGTTGAGAGAACTGTGTAACAAAAAATACCCAGGACCGTTATCTGATCTGAATGATGCTGGCATTGTAACTGACTTCAGAGCAGATGTTTCTCAGAGTTCTTTCAATACCTATAGCAGATGAAATAGAGACAAATAGGTTGCACCATTATTAAGGGTGCATAGAGTTAGGAAAGGCGAACTCTCACACCTTCCCACTTGTGTACTATGTCCAGGCTGCCTAAGGACCTTGTGGCTATTTCCTATGCTACAGGGGGTTAGGCCTGATCACTGCTCACCCATTCTTTATGCAACAGCCCCATCAGTAGAGCTG